ACGTATCTTGCTATCGTATTCATTTCTGCGAAACTAATCTGTCAGACCAATTCGTCGCTCGTCTCTTTCATTTATAATGCGGGAACCCGCAGTGCGCTTTAAATTCCGAGTGAGATCTGGCCGCTTTGTGCGCGGGCGAATGGCACATGGTGAAAATTGGTAACGTGATACCACATACGCATTCCGCATACGCTGCGCTGCCGCGTCGGATAAAATGATGACGGAAATGATGATGTAATGCCGCCCCCTCCCCAACGTTTGTGCTACTTCAATGTTCCAAATTTTTTTAATTTGTAAAAAAGACACGTCGCAACCTGCGAAACTCGATTGATTTTTTACCAACTCGTTACGACCTCGGGGAGATAATCTATCTCTTTTTTTGAGATAAATGTGCTGACAATTCTCTCTTTCTCTCTCTCTCTCTCTCTCTCTCTCTCGATTTTATTTATTTAGCTTCCAGAAATTTATATAATATCTAAACTACGTCTGAAGCAGTACACATTTATAGTTGATTTTGGAGTAACATGGCGTGTTCATCGGCGATCTTCATTGTTATTAATTGCCGTAATTAATCGTGCCTATAATCTGCCCTTAAGACGACGGCAGACCGTTTTCCAGATGATCGACGAGCGAACGAAAATGACTGCAGCCCTTAATGGATTTCCTATACGCTAGGGCTCTCGTCCCGCAGGCGTGAATCTCCCCTAGAGAAGGGATTGGCACGAGATACTTTCTTTCTCGAGTTTTCGCAAGATAGCTGTCATGAAGAAGTTTCAAGCCACGCAGGCCAAAAGTTTGCGGACGCTAGGGAAAAGTTACCGTCAATATCATTCCACGCATGGCTTTAGATAGCCGGGAGAGGATACGATAATGCATCCAGCTGCGGAAAGTCACTGCGCGTTTCGCTCCGCTGGGCTGGATCAACAAGGACTCTCAAGTCTCAGAAGGAGCGAAGGAGCGCTAAGGGTGGATAAAGTGTGATACTTTGTCAGCGTTAGGAATCGATAACGACCCCTCGAATTTGGCCATTATCGATTTCTGCCGCTATTGGATAATGTCGACAAGGTATCCGCTTTCCTTGCTCGTAATGTAATAAAATTTGACTAACGGTAAATCACTCTTGTCGATTATTGGTCATATTTTTAATCAAAACATGATGTTCGTAAAAATTTTTCTTCTGTTTAACATTGCGTATCGTAAAAATGTTCTGCATTTATAGAAAAAAAATGCATCTACTGCGCTTTAGTTAAGATCTTTCCTGTGAATATAACGGATAATAGCTGTGCAACATTTACTGCCGTGGCTTATGAATTCCGAAATATTTGAAATCGCTATTTTCAAAAATATTTTTCCAATAAGATCTCTGAATTTTTTTTCCATTTTAGTGAAGTGACATTTACATGGAAAGTTCATTGCAGAAACATGTTGGCTGGAACATTTCTCAATGCCAAATCTGCATAGCTGCAGTTCAAAAATCGAATTAAAATACTAATTGTTCTGAACACCGGCAAAGTATTTCGAACAATCTCGCGTATTAACCGGGAAAAACCCCGCGCTTTGGCCGTGACAGATCGATTCAAATCGGACAACGACAACGGACGTGCGATGTATATCATCCCGAGAAATGCAATTTTGCGATCTGCTAACGAAGTACAGGCAATTTAATTCGTTGCCGATATGTACCGGACGAAAAGTCGCTGAACAACGAGATTTTACGCGAGACACATTAATAGTTCTGTTTACGCGAAGCATCGAATCCTGTTCTAGATGTAATGCGAATACCATAACTAAACTAGATCGCATTAATCAGAAAATAATCAAACATCGAGTTCTCATGACGAAATTATACATAAAGCTTAAGTATCCAGCAGGTTTGCACCTAAACATACATATCAGTGACGTGACTTATTTACGTGACTTACAACATCTAAGAAGAATATGATTCCGATTTTCCCCAATTAGATAGAAAAGTAAGCAATAAATTTCAATGGGATTAGAAAATTACTACTATTGGCGGTAACTATTGTACACTACCTGATAAGGCGATGCATTATAAATTGTCAATCAAACAAAGTAACATTATAATCAATTCCGTTGTATTTTTTAAGCAGAAGTACGAACTGTTTCTCTTCGTCCCAGCTCGAAAACAAACCGCTACAGTATCATGAAAAACATATTTTCACATGGTGCTAACACTGTGCAGGCATTCGGCGCTGGACAAAAATCGTCGTGTGCACTGGCAGTTCTCCATTTACCTTTTTTTTTTATCAAAAGTGTTACGCCAGGCAGGCGATTTGTGATGTGCTCGATTTTTAGAAGCGGGGAGAAAAAGTGGGAGAGAGAGAGAGAAAGAGAGAGAGCGAGCAAAATGACCGGGCAATAATGTTTTCTGTCCAAGTACGAACGGGAAAATGGTTTGGCATTGTAACATAACTTTCGAGACGCTATTTATAAAGCGGAGGCCGATTACGTTGTCGTACACTACCTCCAAATATACGGTGCAATTGTTCTAATCTCACAAGAGTAATATTCATATGTTTGCGAAAGCTAATCGTGAAAGAGAAACACATTGAATTGATTACTCGCGCGAATAATAGTACGAAAAGCAAACTCCATCATGCCGGTTAGCACAATTAGTTAAATTCTCGTTGTCTCGCATGGCTTGTGACAACGGGGTATTCTGCGTGCAATGTGGAATTCGATCCTTGGCTTCGGGATGAGTTTACACAACATGATTGAATAATTATAAAATCTACATATAATAAACACACACAGATTTGGTCAACTAGTCCAAATAGAACAATAGTCCACCAGTGCAAACTATTATAATATCAAGACGTTATCAAATTATTTCGTTGTAACAATTCTCGCTACGATAACAGGTTTTATTAATATTTTTAATATTTATTCTAAATATACATTAGATTTCGTTGCAAAAACTAATATTCCTTAATAGAAAATTCATGTTTTTTTATTAACGCGCATACGCGCGCTAACACATTCAACAAGATTCTTCAATAAAACAGATTTTATATCAATATCATAAAATTGGTTATACTAATAAAATTTGATTGCTTTCACATAGAATATGCAACGGCAAATGCAATTTTTCCTGTGTGACAGGAATATTATTTATATTCATATCTTCTCTGAAAGTGTGTACTCAAGTATCGATAACTCCGAATATTCAAATCGTACAAAAAATAATGTAAAATCGCATGAAAACGATTTCATGTTCTGAAAGTTTTACGTTTAACTGAGGATCTTTAAATAATCTAAAATAATCGAATGTATGTACGAATTCAAGTTAAATACCAGATCTGTCGAATACGTTATACGCTGAGAAATATCGAAATATATGAGTTACTGTCTTCAATAATCCATTTTGTTATTCCAGAGAATTGTATTACTCAGTGTCATGAATGAACATACATAGAAAATACATTCGGTGCGGTGAAAGGATTATAGAAAAAAATACGCGCAGGAAATAGCGTGTATTCAGTGAAAACAGCATTAGTGCAAACAGCATTAGTAAAAAAACAATAAAAACTGATTGCATTCAGCTCGTTCTTTCTCTCCGTACGTTGTTGATGCACCGAGCGAGCGAAAAATTTAGCCGGCTATTTAACTTATCGTCCGAATCATGTCATCAAATCATCATCAGATACTGCATCGAGCACTGACGGCTCGTTTCAAACGAATGTGAGAGAAATAAAAAAAAAATTCAATAAAACATTTTAGAACGTTTGTCAAACTCTCGTTCGACTGTGCGTCAGAAAATAGCTTTTGTGAAATAAGAAGTATGACATTTTTTTTTACAGATAAAATTTTTTTTTTAACTACACATATTGACGAGTCTGCCTGCGTCATATCCGAGGATTTTTTTCGCGTATTAAAATAATCCGTCGGTTTCAGACTTTTAAATCAAGTAATTTGTGGAGGAAGATTGGTAATATTTAAAAAGAAGCTTTTTATACAATTCAATTTATCTTTTTCCGTCTCATCTTTTTTTCTTCTCTCCTACTCCCCTCCCCCTCTATCTCAGTCTCTCCCTTATAATTGAAGGGGTCTTTTATTTAACAGACTTTTTCAAGAAGAAGTTCTCTTTCGAGTTGCGCAGGTAGATGTCTGAATGTTCGCAGCGGATGCGTGAAATCGTAACGAATTCGACAGACGACGAATCGACAAGACGTGAAAACTAATACTGCCGGATGCCCGCCAGAATGAAGCGAGAATCAGCACCGCATCGTGCGATGAATGGCGGCCTAACTAGGATTGGTTCTCCACCGTAGCTACCTAATACCGTAATTAAAACCGATTAAGCGAACGGAAACGCGACGTGGAATTGAAAACCGGCAATCAGCCGGAAGTCGCTGAGAAAAACACGCGCGCGGGGAAAGTAGATAGGGAGAAGAAAGCCGGAGGATTACGAGATAGGAGGAAAAATCAATATGTGTTACAGGCGACGCTTGGTGTTCGATATCGACGCTGATGAAGGTTCGTAAAACATTTCTCGTGGAAGACGGTCGTGCTCGCCGCAGGAACAGTGGTTATCAAACTTTGTTTCGTCTAATGACTGACGCGGTGTCAAACTTATCTCTCATTTAATGATTTATATGCTCTCCCGTATCTTATTGTATGTCAAGTCTGCGGGATTTTTTGACGTCGTATGAACATTTTTACGACATACTGCTGAGGAATAAGAAAATTCTTGAAAAGATTGGCTGCCCTGAAAAATATTCGCGGCATGATACAGCAGAATGGGACTTCACCATCCATTTTTACCAGGTCAATTTAACGTGCTGAACCCAATTGAATTCTCAACATTCATAGAGAAATCGGAAGTTTTATAATCATAGCAATTTTATTATTAATTCAAATGTTCTGTTACATATCTTTTATTCTTTACAAATCGATTCGGAATTTTAAATGAATAAAGCATTCATGCACGCGTACATATGTGTGTGTGTGTGTGGGTGTGTATTACATATTCCCTTTTCTTTTTTAATAAACTGATGGTGGCATTTTGGTTGGATTATAATCTCCCTATTTTGTAATAATGTTCCATTAATTCCATACATGTTACATTGTTCTGTTTGTAATTATTTTTGCTAAAATACTGAATAAGTAGCAACAGGCATGATAAATTAAGGCCGCTTAATGAATACGATGATAATAATTGATATCTCTCACCAGAAGATGGGGCCATCACATTTAACGAACATGTACATGTGCGAATCTTCGTTCCGTACATACCTGGAAGAAAACAAAAAATTATATTTAAAATATCAGTTTATTTTCACCATAAATTCTTTAGAATATTTTAAAGATAGAGAGAGGCTGATAGAAAGAGCAAAAAAAATTTAGATAAATCGAAACTGTACAATTTCTCGCAAAAATTACTTACCACATAAACAACGATAAGAAAGATCGATTTCCTTACTGTACTATCAAATTAAATTATAACTAAGCAATGGTATATCTTAAACAATGTTGAAGATAAAATATCTGCTGCGAGAAATTCCGACGTAATTTTTATTCTGTGTGCAAAAAGGTATAAGAATGAAAAAGAATACGTGCAGATCGGAGCAGAAAGCGAGAGAGAAAAAGGGAGAGAGGGACACAGTGAAAGAGAGAAAGAGATCTGGAACACACCAATGCCGTTTAAACCTCTTAAGCATCGCCGGATATCGATGTGGATCAGTTTACTCGAATATACCGTGGGCTGGTACATGCGCGAGTGTATGTACTACGTAAACATGCCTATTCCCAGCGAACCTCTTTGATCCAATCCGACGCCATTGAGGCAGTCGGTTGGGAGACACGATGGCTTTCGATCGTGCCCCCGAAGCTTCAAAGCCCCGAAGATCGCGTCGTCGAGGGTCGTATGTCCCGTCACCTGGCCTTCCAGCAGCCAGCTTACCGTCAATGCCGCGTCAGAACGAACCAGATCACCGTTCTCTCCCGTACACGATCGCGTAATATTCTTCGAGCACACCATCAGAACATTCTGGTGGGAAAATTGAAATGCCGCTCGTTTCCGTTCAGCCTGGTGCAGTTATTAAAAACGCACAAAAATAGCTAGATAATTAAATATTGTTAGTTGAGAGACTTTCGAAATGCTAAAGACAACTCGTCCTATAAAATTACGAATAATTAAGAGGTTTAATTGCTACTCGTGCGTCCCTTTATTGCTTAGGAAACGCAGATAGTTTGTCCTATAAACAGAATTATGCAAAGAGTTAAGCGATTAAGAAATTGAAATTTATTCTCTTGATTCTGATTTCCCGAACAAGAAGTTTTTATTGAGTTATAGCTTTGTAACATCTTAAAGTACACGAAAGTTATTTTCATATTTTATGACGGTGAGTTTCAAGCATGCATTTGCATTTTAATTATTTCTTTATGGAGGTAAACATCTTCCTGATTACGAAGTTTCGTCGCCGCTTGCAAAGTAGTACAACGACAGTCTGGTTATAATTAATATACACATGACGAGGAAGACACTATGTAAAATATAATTATAGTTTTGTTATCAGTTGTGCAAGAAACACGATATCTTTTCGTAATAGATATTCTAAAAATCAATCAGTGAATTATCACTGAAAACAGTGAATAGTCACTGATTTATACTGCTATTTTCAGTCGTATACTTAAGTGCAAATCAGTGGCTCTTCACCGGTTTCAGTGATAATCCACTGATTGACTTTTAGAGAGCATAAACTAAATAAAATTCGTATATATTGTCGTGATTTTGTTCACTTAAATTTGAAGCATTGCTTCGAAAAGTTACAATAATGTAAATACTCATAAGGAGAAGACATTTTTATGACATTAAATCGCAGACTGTAAGTAATAAAATTTAAATGTCGCTCGCGCGCTCTCTCGAACAACGCGGAGAACTTATCGTACAAAAAGTTCACGACAATTGACGCAATCATACTGAACCAGAAAGTTTCACGGAATCTATTACATCCGATAATGGCATGAAATGCGTCCGATGTGGAAATAAGCTGCCGATCGTATGTGAGCACGTGATATCGGGCGTTCTTCGCTTTCTTCTCGTTGTTCTCGTACAAACTACGGGTCGTAATCGTTAGCCTCTTTCGCCAAATTATTTCTTTGAAAATAAAAAAAACAACGACAATTGTACAGTTACCGCCGTTACTATGTCGTTACGGGAACGCAAAAAACCTGCCAGCTTTAATTAAAGCATATTCAAATTGTCCGCGCATTATTTGCTTTCACCTCGGTTACCGTGTCTGTTGTTTCATAAGTTAGCGAAACAAAATCAGCAGAACCAATTCTAATTAATATTTTTCGTTGCTTACTCACAGCTGGTTGTCAAAGAGAAAAATTTACCGCTCTGTAAGATTCTTTAAAAAATAATATTCCGCTTCCAAAGGAAAAGTAAGTTAACGCAATAATACATGTATAACGACAAAATTATCATAGCAATAATATGAGAATTAGTTGCCAGTTAATTGCTCTCGAAATATCCGAATTTCTTGCTTGTAAAATAAATTTAAACAATATAGCGGAAAACCTCTCGGCATGCAAAGTTACAGGAGTAAATTATAACATATAAGTAACTTTTTCCTCGTAGTTTACTCTTGTACCGTTGTACACTGAAAAGTTCTCGACCATTGTTTAAACTTATTTTTTTAATTTATATTGTAAAACTTCACTTTATAAAACGTGTCTTATGACGCTAACTTGTAAACGTTGTTCTTTAAGCGGTACAAGTTCGTAAAATAAAAGAGTGACATACGCGACACAAATTCGAAAACATACGGGAAATTGATTAAACGAGACGAGATTTATTAAACGAACATAGGAGACCTATTAAACGCACACTCCATACATTCGTTTTGTTTAAACAGTTTAAATATCTCGTCGCGCGATATACCTAATAACAGTTCGTACACGGCAGCTCAAGCGTTCATTTCGTTCTTGACGCAGCGTGGCTGCGTATACTCCTTCTATTCCCGCAGTTACCTTGTCGCGCCATTCTTACGGCGACGCTCGAGCGAAGAGGTGGCAGTGCGAGTCACGTTCAGCTGCCGTAATTAATTATAGAATATTAAACGAAACGCTTGACGTACATTTTACGATATTAAATATTTCGTGCTCCAGCGACAAACATACTGATATACGAAACTCGGTAATGATTTCCGAAATGAAAAGCTGTAGCGTGGTTTTTCGCCGACAATAAACCCCGTAAGTGGGCTTTAGTGCGGTGGAGTGGTCCAGCAGTTTGAAAACTAAAACCAAAAGACGAGAAAATCAGGTGTATCCAACGCACTGTTAACACAGCAGTGCTACGAGTTGCTGAAAGACTTATTTATGCGACTTTAAATCGCCATCGATCGTATAAACGATTTGCCGCGTCGCATATTCGGAAGTGTAAAATATCGTAATTATCAATGTCTTCCTAATTTTAACTTCGGGTATGCTGTACCAAGCGCGAATGTAGTATTTAGACTGTTTCGCTTTGAATGCTCTGCCGGTTAAAATGCACCTATAATTTATCTTTGATTCTCTCCGAAAGAAAGCAGAACAATATTGTCGAATCGAGTGACCAAATAACGAGATACATCGTCTGTTCTTTGATACTTCATAATTTCGTATATTTCGCGTCGTACAAGCTAGCAGTCGCAATTCTCCGTAGTGCAAAATATTAAATAATACAATTTTACATTCGTGATAATTACGAGCTCGATGCGTATTGCGCGTACGATATTTAATTTTAATTGTGATGATATGTAATTTTAATTTTAATTTTTTCTTAATTAACTGCGTGTCTCTACTAACCGTCAAGTTGAATCGCGTAATATCGCGCCCGTGACTTCGGTGTTGTTTTCGTCAGCGAACGCTTTGTTCACACGAAGTCACCGGCACGCAGTTCAGAAGCGTGTGTCGTAGCGGTAGAATCTATCGACCACTCTTTGCGTACAATACGCATTTACCTGCCGCACAATCGACCAAGTGTTACTTTCAATGATTCACGAGTGTATCGAAGTGAATACTCGGTACGTATCGCGCGCGATATATTTTCTCGTGAAAATCAAAGTGACATGCCGAACATACATTGCGTCGCATACTTTCGCATAATCCGTAATCTCAATTGATTGTTCCATTGAAATACAGTAGATTCTCGGGAACAGTTAACATAGAAAGTGTCATATAAAGTGCCGTGTGATCATTATCAGCTGTACTTTCGTGAGTGTTGCGTGTGTTGCGTTGTGCGTGGATCAAGTGATTTAAGTAACAGAATACAGTGACGTGTGAAGCATGTAATTACGTTTGTATCTCGCAAAATTTACGCGCTCGAATTATACAGCAAGCATATTTCAAGTGTATTTTCAAATGGTTTTCTTGGTTCAATTGGTTACCGAATCGATTCACGTTGTATCTGCGAAATTAACATGAATATTGTCGACGTTTGAATCTCTCGGCGAATTTAAATGTAACGGGAGAGTGTCATAATACATCGTTTTATTTTTCCAGTGTTTTAATAAAGTATCTCGGTCATCATATTATGACAATTAATTCGCTATTAATCGCGTTACCGTGAGTGTTGAATCGAGAGTATGTAATGAAGAAACTTCACATATTTATGAGTGATACAATAATTATGTTTTAAATAGCAGGCCTAATTTACGTACGCTCGATATTCATTCTTTAAATTATTTATGTACACATAATTGCACAATCGCGTTACCGTGAGTGTTAAATCGAGAGTATGTAATGAAGAGACTTCACATATTTTTGAGTGATAATTATGTTTTAAATAGCAGACGTAATTTACGTACGCTCGATATTCATTTTTTAAATTACTTATATACACATAATTACACAATTTCTTATCTACAATCCCCTCTTCGGGTACTACCTTGTCGCGGTGGAGGGGCTCACTTTCCTGAAGGGTTACTCTCTAAAAGTTAATCAGTGAATTATCACAGAAAACAGTGAATAGTCATTGATTTAAAGTTACAAGTACACCACTGCGACTTTCAGTGGTATATTTTTAACTGCAAATCAGTAATTGTTAATTGTTCACATTGCGATAATTCACTGATTGACTTTTAGAGAGTATCTAAAGACGGGAAAACCAAAGGTACCCATTGCACTATTTAGATCCAGTTTCTCATTTTCTGATTAACTGTTAATGAGAAGTTAATCGATTCTTTGTATCTTGTTAGATAATAATAAAGAAATAGATAGGGAAACGACTAACTTTCTTATTAACGGTT